CAGCGCGCGACTGATAACGGTTCGCCTACAACTCGGAAGAGGTAAGTTTGCTACTTTTATAAGCACGTACGGTCCGACCATGTGTTATCCTGATGACACGCGTGATCAATTCTACACTCAGCTATCCTCCGTGATACGGTCTGTGCCGAGGAGCGACCGACTATTTCTGCTAGGTGATTTCAACGCGCGCGTTGGGCGTGATGCATCAGTGTGGACAGATGTTATCGGTCCGCATGGCATTGGTTCAGCGAATGCGAACGGTGACAGGCTGCTCTCACTGTGTGTCACTCACCGCCTGACGATCACGAACACTCGGTTTGCACTGAGTGAGTGATATAGCGATTGGACGCACCCACGGAGTGGTCACACTCACCCTGCTCGACTATGTCATCGTACGTCAGGGCGACATGCGTGAAGTGAGCATGACACGTGTACTGCGTGGAGCTGAGTGTGGCACTGATCACAAGTTGGTGCGGACCAAACTGTACATATATTTGCTTAAATCTATGGATTGCACTGACGCCGTGAATCGGCGTAAATGAAACATTCTGTCCTTCGGTACTGTGGCGAAACGTAGTGAGCTGGCAAAGGCGATGGCTGCACGCCTGTGTGATGTGGACTGCATAGCCACAGTGGGCGACCTGTGACACCACATTCGCGACCATGTGACAGCTGCTGCAGAGGAGACCATCGGGCGCGCAAACTGTGAGCAGCCTAATTGGTTTGATGCAAACAATGCGACGATTGGTGCACTGGTGTCGGGGAAGAATGCAGCATTTGCTGCATATGTCTCAGACACCAGTGACTTGGGGAAGAACAGTCAGTTTCGCAAACTTCGACGGCGACTGACCCGAGAGCTCCGTCGTATTAAAAATGCATAATGGAGGGAGAAGGCGAAGCAGATGGAATGCTTCGCCGAACGCCGCCAACACAAGGAAATCTCTTTGAAGGCGGTGTATGGACCGAGATTGGAGCCGCTGAGGACGCTGATCGATGGTACTTCAGGCGCTACCTGCACACAGACTGCAGATGTAATGCAGATCTCGCGAAAACACTTTAACTGTATCTTGAACAACCGTTCAGATATCGGCTGGCCTACTTTTAACGACCCGAAGCCGCACAACGTGAAGGCGGGTCTGGCGGACCCGCCGACGCTGGATGAGACACAGAGAACTCTTGCTCAGCTGCGAAACGGCAAGTGTACCGGTGCCGACGGGATACCGCCTGAAGTATTGAAGCACGGCGGACTTGCGTTGGTGACTGCGCTGCACCATTTGGTGCAACGTGCATGGATTGAGGAGGACGTGCCTACAGAGCTGAAGGATGTCCTTGTGCTACCACTGCACAAGAGCAAAAGGAGCAAGCAATATTGCACGAATTATCGTGGCATCAACTTGCTGAGCTGTGTGAGCAAGGTGATTGCCCGGATCCTGCTCAACCACCTCGTCAGTCAGGTTGTGGAACCGAATGTGGCAGAAGAGCAATGTGGATTTCGTTCGGATTGCAACACCACCGATATGGTGTTTGCGGGTCGTCAGTTGCAGGAGAAGTGCAGAGGACGACACCGGCCGTTGTGTTCGTTTTTTGTTGATTTCACCAAGGCATTTGATACGGTGAATCGCGAGGCACTGTGGCTGGTGTTGGGTAAGTTTAGTTGTCCAAGTAAAGTTGTAAATTTATTTGTATGTCTACACAGCTGCATGCGGACGAGGGTGTAGCTGAGTGGAGAGACCTCGGATGACTTTGCAATTGTCTCTGATGTGAACCAAGATTTTGTCTTTGCCCCTGCTCTCTAATATTTATCTTCATGCATTAGTGTCTTGTGCTTACGGTGTTCGTGTGGAGCACCGTATTGATGATGGGTTTCTGAACATCCGTCGTTTCGGTGCGAGAACTCTAGTCGGTGAGACGACTATCCGTATATTGCTGTTCGTTGAGGACTGGGCGTAGTTTGCACACAGCGCGGATGAGTTGCAGCACATGACTAGTGCTCTGGCTTCGACAGCGGCCAAATGTGGGCTCACCACCAACACAAACAAAACTGTCTGCCTCTTTCAGCCTTCACCAGAGGTGCAATCTGCAATGGTGCGGCGAATGAGCGTTGGTGCTGAAGTATTTGAAACCATCTCCCGCTTCTGCTACCGTGGGAGTTTGATGTCGACTGACCAACAGCTTCACAGTGAGCTGCGTATCCGCGTCTGGAAGGCAGCGGCGGCATTTGGGAAGCTAGAATACCGAGTGTGGAACGACCATCAGCTTATCATTTGGTACGAAGCCGATGGTGTAACAATTCATGTTGCTGTCCGTTCTTCTATACGGCAGTGAAACGTGGACGATGTACAGGCGGGATGTGTGATATCTCGAGCAGTTCCACCAACAGTGTCTGCGACGGATCGTGTGCATCGATCGGTGCGACAGTGTTGCAGACACGGAGGTATTGCGCCGAAGTGGAGTGTATGCAGTGGACTGCATACTTTTGCTGAGACACCTGAGACGGCTCGGTGATGTGTGGCGTATGGATTCGGCGCGGATACAGAAGCAGCTATTATATGATCAGCTGTTTGGGGAAGCGGCATACCGTTAAAGCGAAGCTTCGTCTCCAGGAAATGATCATTGTGAGCCTTTCACGTTCTAATCTTGGTAGCAGGTATTAGGAATCGAAGGCGGTTGATAGGTGTGAATTGCGCGATCTGATCACGAAGGCAGTTCCAGAGGTGCAAGAGAAAGCCATGGTGCATGCGGAGAAGAAGCGGCAAGTGCGGATGGGTTGTACTCTATCGACATCGAGCGCACTGTGCGGTAGCTTACGCGGTTTCGAATGCTTGTGTCAGGCAGGCATGAGCGAAGCCACTCAGGACCTACATCAAAATACGACGGATGCTGCTGAGAACGAAGGTATTCGATTTACTAACCGCGAGTTTGCATGTTGAGTCTCTTTAGTTCAGATGGTGGATTTGATATATTGCCCTAGTGCCTTTTTATCCCATATTAATCTCTACCTGAAATACCCTCTATTAATTAGCACACGTCGCTGAAGCTAATTGTAGTTAACTTAGATAAGATTTTCGCTTTTGTGACATTTTCTTAAAATACATTTTCGACGTCTTGAACCTATCACGGATTTGTTGGCAACCAATTTATTTCATATACTCATTTATTTAAGAGTCATGTTAGCATATCTATATGCATTATTCGATTTATTTTATTTCATCTTGTCGCCTAAAGTGAATGGCTGTTGCTTGATATCCCCGATGTGGCTGCGCTTAATGTGCATGTTGGCCTACCTGTGTATTACCCACTACCTCGTCCATACTGGCTCCAGGAGACAGTTGGTCGTTGCTGGAGGGGACGGGGTGCACGGTCCTCGTGGCCGTGTTAGGCTCGAAGAGTGGTTCCATGCACTCAGTGTGGAGCGGACTACAGTCCAGCCACCGCCTTGTGTGCACTTGATTCCCCAAATCACGGAGCCGGCCCACACTCCTTCACAGGCAAACACAAGCACGCTGTACTTAAGGAATCATGTGCACACAAGACGGTGGTTGAACCGTAGTCCACTATACACTGAGTGCATGGAACCACTCTTCGAGTCTCGCGCGGTCACAAGAACCGTGCACCCCGTTCTCTCCAGCAACGACCAACTGTCTCCTGGAGCCAGATGGACGAGGTGGTGGGTAATAGACAGGTAGGCACCTTGTCAACGTGCACATCAAGCGCAGCCACACCTGGGATGTTAAACAACAGCCAACCACTCAAAATGCCGATATCGAATAAAGTAAACGCATAGGACGACATAAATACTCGCTAAATGAGCATATGGAAGAAATTGGTTATAAGTAAATCCGTGATAAGTACAAAGTGTCCGAGTTATTTAAAAAATACCATGCGATAAAATTACGCAAGTTTACCACAGTTTGCATGAGCGACGTGTGCAAGTTGGAAGATGATTATCAAGTACGCAGAACAAACCAAATAAAATGTAACGATTTTCATCCACATTAAAAAGACCTAGTTTAAGTGTAAGTTGGTTTAGCCCAACTGCGGTGAAGAAGCATCATGAATGCAACATCAGCCTCAGCATGGGGCATATATATATATATATATATATATATATATATATATATATATATATATATATATATATATTCACAACCTGATTGCAGACAATGTGCCATCAAATGTATCGCGATAGAAAGGGGAAACGAAGCACAGCATGTGAATAGAACGATCTTTTGCGTTTTATGTGCTCTGGTTTGAGGCTGGTTTTCTTCCGGAGCTTTATGTTTGATGACAGAATCGGGAACACATAAGCGCTAAAACCCTAACAAAACTGAGATCTCCGCTAAAAATTGTAAGGGTGTGACATCGTGTACTTAGGTGATTTGTTGGTGAGCTGTTGCCAACAACTGCTCATGAAACCATCTGAGAGCAACGGGCCCAGCGGTTCACAGACTTCTTTTCAACGTAGGTTGGTTGCTTAGGCCGCTTTCCTGGCGGCCGACTGTAGCAGTTGAAATGTGTCATCATACAACCTGCCCAAGTTAAGACAATTCCACTGGGCCATTTTTATCGCCCCCCAACTTACACTGTCCATACGTGCAGAGTTCATGCTTTGTGCATTTAAGTTGCTTTTCATATGTCAGTTGTAATACGGCACAGTTTCATGCAGTTAGCTCTATGAAAAGGTGTGTGATAACCTAGTCTATTCTTGGCTTTCTGTGCTAAGATAAATGACAAGTTCCTATCTGTTAGCATCTGAGATCTATATGGAGCAGCGTTACTAAACTCCGCAGTGACTGAGTTACCAAGTAGAAACCGTACAAAGAAGAAAGCTACATTACACTACAAGCTTTCGCGATCACCAAGCAGAAGTTCCGGAATTTATTGTGGGACATGAGGCAGGTTGTTAAGAATAGTAACTATCACAGGCGTAAAGTAGCCATGAGAACGGAAACACGCGGAACATGTTTATTCAAGCACAAATTAATAAAGAAGTATCTCACCTGAGAGCGTTTGTTAAATGCCTGCCAACGGAAAACGTGTTCACTCTAGTTTAAAATTATCGATCGTAAGCAAATCACGTTACTCAAACAGTGGGACCCCGGCTGCGACTGCAACAATGCCATAGTTAACGTCTTGATTCGTTCTCCGAGCTGAGTAATATAATGGCAAACATTTCGCCACTTCCCTCAGTGGCATCTTCAGTGCACTGCTCCGTATAGGAAAATCTCACGGGAAGTAGCGTTTGAAATTGGCCTCATCCATCTGTGTCCCGTGTTTGTTCGATTTCCGTCAGCCCAGTTTCACGCTTTCTCAGCTGTAGGTACACGGGATCGAGGTCAATACAGAGGTTCACTGAATTCTCCGTGGAGAACCATATCTCAAGCAACTCTCTTCCTTTTCTTGTCCCTCTGTGTGCCAGAATTTCTGTGTGGTTCCAGTTAGCGTTGCATCCTTCCTCATCAAGATGCGCTGAGATCTGTGACGAGCGAAGAGTTGGTCCGTTCCGGCTAGGACAGTCGAAATCCAACTAGGACGCTGATAACAGCAGAACGTGTATGTAACTCCGCGCTGTTCGAGCTGTAAACGTTTGCAGATCACCATGCCTCAGAGTTGCAACCCTAGTTAGTATGTGCCAGCCGTGTTCTTCTCGACGACTTCAACAGGAGTGACAAAGCTTTCATTAACACCATGGGTTTGGCCAATCGGGTGAAATTCCCCACCAGACTCCAAGCACATGTAGATTCAGTTTTTACTAGTAAACGCGAACCGTTTTCTACACAAAAGCGTACACCCCTTGATAATTCCGACCATTGCATAGTAAAGCAATGCCCCAAGCAATACAGTAAGGCACACTATGTTACGCTGACAAAAATACCATCCAGAACTGTTAAAAGTCGCATGTGCTCAGCAGAAAATATCAGAAAACTCAAATCAACACTGTTCAACTGATTTTTCAATTTTTACCAATGAAGAATTGTCAGCTAAATGCGAGCATCACGCAGGCTACAAACTTCTGTTTTGATCTGTGTTGTCCCATAGAGATAATCTATTTGCGAAATAACAAATTCTTATTTCCGTTGCTCAAGCAACTACGGAGGAAAAAAGAACAGGCTAACTGATCTTGTGAAACGTGTCCTTGGCTACAAAAGCTGAAGTAAGATTAACCACTCAGTACATTTAGACCGTTTTGAATAACCAGTTGCCGTGACGTGTGCAGGCTTCTGTGGAAACTCGCTGGATAGCACTCTTTCAGAACACTCAGCAACGAGGATGTAGATAAACACACCAAAGTTCAGCTCCTCATCACCTAACATACAATCTGCCTCCTCTCATGCCTACAGAACCTTTCACTATTTGATTCTACAAGTGTTTACAAGCTCATAACACTAAAGTCGAACAAGGCTAGTGGACCGGATGCTGTATCGACAGTCGCTCTGAATGGACGCGCAGATGTTCTAATAACACCTCTTATAAAGATCCTAAATCAGTGCTTAACAACTGGTACTATACCCGATATTTGGAAACCTGTCAGAATAACACCAGTGCTTAAAGTGGCAACCAATTGCGCGCAAGTCCGTGTTGTTAAAGACACCGGGAAAACTACTGATCCCTGGCATTTTCACAAGCAATCCTACGGATGGTTTCAAACACTTCACCTATAAACTCCAGTGCTCTACACTGGATGCTGTTTTTATCGGGAGCATGCCAATGCGTCCGCGCTGGATAATAGATGCAACAGCGAACAACTCCCATTTAGTGATTACACCAACGCCTTTGTGAGCCTCGACAGATCAGTACTGCTCAACATTCTGTCCGAAGATGGCGTTCCCATATATCTGATTACTTCACAAATCGCATCCACTTCAAGTAGCTGTGCGGCAGAAAGTCTTCGATACTCCTAGCCAATTGTGGTGTTTTGCAAGGAGCGATCCTATCCCCCTCTTTTCTCTTCTTAACCTACGTCGAAAGTCCCCCCCTATTCCATCACACTTCATAGCCTGTAAATATACTGCTGACGTCGTCCTGGATTGCATAACTCTAATCATCGGGGACTGTTTGAAACCCCATGGAAGGTTAGACGAACTAGTGACTTGGTCAAGCTCCCGGTCCAACAGTCCCTTGTACGTAGCTCTCACCTCCCGTGTGAATGCAGATGACCAAAGCATACCTCATTCCGCTACGGTAAAACATCTCGGAGTCTTCCTATCACACAATTTATTATGGTCTACACTTATCCCGGAAAATTAGAAGGCTTTGTTTACACCCTCATGTTCGAAATGCTTACCGTTCCCCTTGCTTGATGTTAAGGTTTGTAATTGCATGTATTCTCTCTCAGTGGTTATACTATTCCTCTGTGATTTGTCACAGACTTCTTTATAAAGATAATGTTCTTTTCCGCTCGCTAAAATTTATTTCTAGCTGCTCTGAAATAAGGAAAGAACAGACATTTGACTTTATCGTTAACAAACATTTTGATGCATGTATCAAATATTCATTCAGGTACGTAAACGACCCTTCGCACTTCTTACACGATATCCTAGCCAGCATTTGATTTACTGCTTTCACACGACTAAAATTTAAAGTTTCATATTCTCGCACCTCGTCATATCGAAACTCTATCCTGCCTTGGAACATATCCTGCCTTATTTATCACGCATACTAATTGATCCATCAGGAATGAAAAACAGCTTTCGTGATCGTATGTTTGATAGAAGATACAACTTTTTGTTTACTACCGTTACTTTTTGTGCTATGATATTCCGTATTGTTAGTGTGAAGATGCTGAAAAGGCGACTACATAGGTGGATAAAATTTATTTTGACTTGATGTTTATGTGGTGTCAGCTAAGAGACAGTTGCAAGACTGGCGAATAAAGTGCAGCTCACAAGACATACGTTATGAAGATGGTATACATACTTATACAGTGACGCCTTTCTAATATGCCAAGGTAACATTAGCCGAACGTGTGATGGAATTTACGGGAAAGGGACAACGAAGGTTGTTTCATAGACAGCAACTCGAGATCCACCCGCGTCCGGAAGAAAAACACGAACCATAGTGATTATAATGCTGAACCGTGTGAGCACATGAATGAGACAACAAAGGTATAAAACAGAAGGGTAACTTCCACAGAGGTGGATTTGGTGCAAAGTTGTGGAGAAGTCGATGCGTATGACTGTCGCGGAAATATGGAAAATGGAGTCAGACGAGCAAATGCGAAGTGAAGTTCTGGGCCAGACACCAAGAGAATTGAGTGCCGGTGCGGTTAATCCTCATCGGAGAAGGGGAAAACGAGCGTGCAATGGATCCAGCATTTCCACTAAAAAATATAAAGTTCCGGCGAGACCTGTACGGAGAGAGTAAATGAAAAGCACTTGTTACCGTTATGGACAACGATGCAGCGGTGTTTAGTGTTGCCTGTTTGTACAGCTGTAAGCGCGCAGAATTGTGGTCAAGGTGGACACGCCTTCAAGCTGTGCTCTCCGACAGGTTGGCAGTCAATCTGCCCAGTTGGCAGTATGAATACAAAGGGGACCGGAAGAGAATACGATATTATTGGAGCAAAAATAAAACCTACCCAACCCCATGGAAATCTGATCGCAAACGCTAAAGAAATTAATTGATTACCAAGACGTCAACAGTACTTTAATTTCTCGTGGGATATTGTAAAAATACACGGACACATGTTAACAATTAACTACTGAAGGTGAAATGTTATATTCAGTAGAGGGAAGTACGTTGAATAGAACATGCGTGAAATGTGCGTCACTGATTGTCTTGCACAGCAACATATATTTTACTTCGATAACGGATCCCGCAGATAGGTCCAGATATGCACCACTCACCGCTCGAAGCATAGTCGAGCGGCCAAGTTCAGATACGACACTACAAGCTTGTACTGCTGTTCGCGTGTGTTGCACAAAGCGAGTAGTTGGGGCAACAGCCACAGCAATGGGAAGTCACTGAGAGATGTAAGGTAAAGTCGACCATGATGAGATCGACTAGCACCCGACGCTAAGACAGGGTGTCTAGTCGTAGGGTAAACCGCTTAAACTGGGGATGAACCTGGTTGAGCCCGTTCAATCCTCCTCACTTCGCTCCGGATGACCGGACAGTTGGTGGACGAGCCGTATTCTAGCATTGGTCTTATGGTGGAATGGAAGAGTACTACTTCTAAACAAGCACAGAAGCTGCGTCTAAGCACCCTAAGAAATCGCACACCGTTTCTGTATGATCTATTCGTGTTACCCAAGCGAAGAGGGCACGCTTAGGTCCTTCACGGAAGGTATGATGTAGTGGTTGGCTGTCGAGCGTGTAGGCTAGGTCGCCGCCACCTTGCGGCTGGCACATGAATACCGATTTGATTGAGTTGACCGGGGAGGCAAATTTCTGTGGACTGCATACAGAGGTGGTCGATGTCATGGTGAAGCAGCCTTCTTGGGGCACTACCACAGAACTAAATCAGATCACCGTAAAAACAAGGGTGTTTGGTCGTTTATAAGCAACGAACCGGTACGGCCCGTCGTGTCTGTCTATAAGACTCTAGACATTGGTAACGGATCAACGCATACAGTGATAAGAACCACCGAGTGCGACTGAAGCGTAGGCAACCCGTTGTTTCGAGTTTGGGTAATCTTGGAAACAACCTGAAAATTTACGATATACAAAATTGTTCCGCTCTTATAAGTACGCCTCTTAAACTCCATGACCGCAGGTCTAAGCCGCTCACGGTTCACCGGATTCAGAGCTAGGATAAATGACTTCAAACTTTGCCACCTTCTGGGGTGGGAAAGCAACAGTCTCCAAATGGCTTCGTCCGCAGATGTGACTTGCACAGACCGAACTTTTGATCATACTTCCTTACAGGACGAGTGCACTGCCTCACCTTCAACTCGTTCTCACCTAGATCGGGCAGCCTAGTAATTACTCCCTGTAAGTACAACTCAGTTTATTCGTGTTGGTTCATCGCAATTAGATTCCAAGCCGCATAGGTAAGCTACCAATCCGGAAAAGCACCAGACGCGCGTTTCGCCCCATTGGGGCTCGTCAGTAGTGCGCATCCATCGGTCCCCTACTGGGGATCGAGCCCACGACCGCTAGAGGCTAACGCCAACTAGCCAACATCTTATGGCACTGAGCCATGGGGGACGATAGCCGAAACGCGCGTCTGGTGTATTTCCGGATTCGTAGCTTACCTATGCGGCTTGGAATCTAATTGCGATGAACCAACTCAAATGATACCCAAATCCGTCTACTCATTATAATTCAGTTTAGTTGATGAACTATGATACGAGCACCGAATTGTGTGGATCCAGTTGCCACGTTCATATCGTAAGAATAACAATAAATAACGGCAAGATAGCAGGGTTAAAGGTAAACAGAAGGTAAAAAACAGATGCAAGAATGAAGTATGTTAAACTAATCAGAATGGAAAGAAAGTTAACAACCAGATGCTAGGAACCGAATGCAGGAACGCCACTGTCTAGGTGACTATGCCATGTTCGACACGGTCTCTAGCCATCGGTGTGGAACATCCAAGGCCCCCCATCAACGAATATGTCATACACCCGTCTGACCAAGTTTCTCAGTCAACTTCTCCATGCCTCTAAGCCATGTCATGGACTAGTCACCTCGCGGTTTAGCCAAGCCTGGTGCAGCTACGGCGTCTAGTGCACGCCGAGGAAGACGGTCAATGAGCATACGGAGCATATGGCCTAACCAACGTAAGCGACTTAGATTTAGCAAACATTCGAGTGAGGCAACAGAAGGCTAGTTGCCAAAAACCAACTGGCGGACCACACTATTGCTCACCCAGTGTTCCCACCAGACGTGAGCAATGCTCCGCAAGCACCGGTGGTCAAACACGGCCAAGTGTTTAATGTCTTCGCCGCGAACTGGATAGGTACCTGATCCATACAGTAAAACCGTCCTTAACACAGCATTATACACCCTACCTTTCACTGACAGATTGATATCCTGCCGTCTCCATATATGGTTGAGTCACTGGAAAGCCATACGGGTCATGTTGATACGAGAAGTACCTTTCTCAGTGATATGATAACCAGAGGTGACACAGCTACCAAGGTAATTGAACCGACCCACCATTTCCAGTGGCTGTTCGGTGATAGCAATTCCCAGTGTATCAGTCCAGTCCTGTAGCAGTATTTAGCAGTTTGAAGGTGCAAAGTACATGTCGAGGAGTGAAGCGCTGCGCATCAGTCTATCCAGCATTGCTTGCATAGCCACTGCGTCAGACCCAACAAGAGCTACGTCGTTCGCATATTTCAGATTTGTCAGTCGGTCACCTGGTAGAACATTCACTCTGATAGTCTGAAAGAACAGTCACTCATGATCACTTGGATAACAGTTAAAGAAGAAAGGAGATATAGGGCAAGCCTGGAGAACCGCATTTGCAGTGGGGAACTCGGAAGATAGTCTCCCGTAGAACCTTGCACAGTCTCGAGAGTCACGATAGGCTGCATAATGGAAAGGAATTAAGCCGGCATGCCTTCATGGATAAGTAATGCCACAAGCTGGCGCGGTGTACAGAGTCGAAGGCAGCTTTCAAGTCAAGGAAAATCATCATAGTCGGTCGTCTGTATGTGTGACGCTGCTCTAGCACATGACGAAGAGTAAATATGTGGTAGATACAACCACGACCAAGGAGGAAGCCAGCTTGGCTTTCAGTGAATCGGTTCTCATGGGGAACAGTAAGTCGTCAGAGAATGATACCGTGAGGAGTTTGGATGTAATGGAGACTAGGCTAATTCTTCGATGATGTTGGCACAAAGTACGCTGACCCTTCCTGAAGATGGGCACGACAGTTGGTAATCGCCAGTATGAAGGTACCTATTCACTGTTCCAAATCGTGTTAAATAGAGACACGGGTCTAGTCAACAAAGGGTCACTACCATCTTTCAGCAATGATGGAGGAAGGTCACTGAGTCCAAGAAGCTTGCTTCGTTTCAACACGAAACGCTCATATCGAATCTCTTTCAAAATGGAAGGTGTGACATCTACTTTCCACGTCGACTCAGGCGGTCGGCAAGCAGTAGTGTCGCAGCAGGTCTGCTGAACTGCTCCTCCAAATGTTGTACCCAACGGGCTAGTTGACGACGTTGAGAGTGGACCAACAGTTCACTTTTCTCAGATATTGTCTCGCTAACTGATGGCCTTTTCGGATTCGTGTTCCGGATGAGCTGAAACAACACTCGGTAGTTCCCAATGGCACTGGGCTTCCCCATCTCACAGGCTACTGATATCTAACCACGTTCCCGGTCGATTCGAAGACACATCGTCGGAAGTCGTTTCAGGGAGTTCCGGACACGCTGAAACTGAGCATCCGTTGGAATTTGTTTCCATGCTTCGATCAGGCTGATCGATGCCACAGAGATCCATACACAGGTACCACGTTTCAAGTTGGGTGCACAGCATGCGTCAAAGATATTCTTCAAGGTATAACTGAGACTATCCCAGTCAGCTTTCAGCTCATTAACCTCATTCATTTGGGCGGCCAGCACAGTGTACACTCCAGTAATGATAACGGTGAGCAACTGCTACACCTGTGTGAAGATATTCGTCTATTCCTCGCGAGCACTAATTGCCGATACAGCACCCGCAGAAGGGTGACATGGCGCCCACGCGACTCAAACCAGCTATGGACGCAAATCGGTCACATCGCGATCAGTTATCGCCGGAGAGGCTGTGTCCAAAAATCGCTCAATTTGGAACACGAGCATTAGCTCGGACCACGCACTCGTTTGTGCCGATCTCATAGTTCGCTTCGCTGGGCGCATGCGGCGTAGCTGTGAGCGCAGAGATACATGCCAGTTGATGAAGCCAGATGTCATGAATGCATATCACAGACTGGCATCCGGGCTGAGTAGACGCTCTCTGAACACAGTAGAGGGATACTGGTAGTATAATGACTAGACGTTATTGGCAGCAGGCGTCTTCATGTGGCAAATCAAATTGCCGACCTGGACATTGGGTCTCTATGCAGTCTCTAGAACGTATGGATGCTCGCCAACACAATACAGCTGGAAGCGAACACAACGAAACTCGCAAAGACCTCAGGTCGAAACTGCGTGCTAGCCTAAAGAGATATCGGGAAGCGTGCAACAAAGATGGAAATGACCGCTGCCCGTGGTAGCTATCAGAAGTTATTCCGCTTGATAAGCAAACCGAGCGGAAAGCGATTTGATGTTAGCGAGACCATACGTGATGACGGTGGACGACCGATTCACAGTTTGTCAAAAAGCTTGGAGTTGGGACGGACAGCGTCTCACGATGCTCTTACTTAGCTTGAAGACCCGCTGATGGCATTTGAAAAACATGCGCACATTA